TTTCAATTGCTCCTGAGTTTGTCCACCGATTGTTTCTATCTAATTCACTGGCATCACATCCTCCAACCTTTTCCTCCCTTCTTTTAATTTTTCCCCCTTTTTTATTATGTTTTTATTTATTAATTATTATTATTTACTCCTTTTTATTTACTATTGTCGCTGTTATTATTCTTACTATTAAGTCATGCGATTTATTATTATTTCATTATTTATAAATGTTTTATTGTCTTGTTCCAAAAGTTTAAAAGGGAAAAGTGGAAAGTCTTTCACCATGTCTGTCAAATCAAGCATGTATGTTCTTTTCACATAATTAAAAAAAAACAATGTCAGAGTATGTGTGAGGGAGGTCTAAGGTGTATTCTCAATTTGCAAGACAAAAATCGGGAGGTAGATTTACTAAATAGGGAAGTGAATGAACCAACACAATTTAGGTTGCAATGTCAATGGTGGGAAGGTGTAAATAATCTTCTAACAACACTGATTAAATATGGTTTTAGAAATAATTTTTGGGCATTAAGTAAATGATAAGTGTACAAATTATTTGACTACTGCTAACTTGGATAAATCATGCAGCATGATTTCCCATCACTTGTTGAATCCCATGAAAGTAGAACTTTTACAAATTCCTAACCAATAACATCAAGTTCAAAAACACCGTTTCAGTATGCTTTTTGTAAATCTTGGAAATATTTTTTTTCACTGAAACCCCCAAATGAGGCTTTCAAGACCACCCACTCTAATATTTTACATCATGCTTAACTTTTATTTAATATCTTTCAATAATTTTGTTCTCTTCGTACAGATATGAGAGGCTTTATGACAGCACACGGACAGCCAGACCAATCAAGATCTGCTCGATATGTTTTAAAAGACTATGTCAGTGTAAGTGCACCTTTATTGTAGGGACTACTAGCTCTGAGGCATTTTTTAATTTAAGATATAGTTTTGTCAAATCGCTCACAAGTGGATAACATTAAAATAATTGTGTAAATGATCTTAAATGTTTTGAGTTTTTTACAAATGGTTGACAGGAATATGAACTAAAGAGATTGGATTGAGGATTAAACACCAGGTGTAAACAGGAATGTGTCTTCAATGTGAACTATTAATCTAAATGAACAAAATGCATTTTAATTCCAGGTGTAAACAGGGCCTGGATATTATGATAAAAAAATAATTGGAGATGCTAATTCGTTCTTACCTGAATTGTTGCAGGGCAAACTCCTCTACTGCCATCCTCCACCTCACATCGATCCTGAAGACTTCCAGCCTCAGCACGCCAAGTTTGCCATGCGGATAACAGAAGCCGAACAGATCGATGGCAGTGGTGGCAAACCATCAAAAGTGAAACGCATAGAAAACACAGTGGATAAACAGTTTTTTCATCAAGTAAGATTCAACCCATCAGTGCTTTCTGACATTGTCAGGCTACTTAATTGCACAATATAAAATATTTGTTCATTAAAATATCTCAAAACCTCATAAACAGTGTTATATTTTGCTGACCTATAATTGATGAATGTTCAAATACAGAGAAATAAGCAATTTGGACATCATAAATCCACCATTTCCGGTTCGGTTTTAAAGAAAATAGAAGAACATCAATGATGCTTTAATATGTTGTATGTTTTATTAGACTGCACATTGAAGCATCCTAAAATGTAATTTAGTCTGATAAAACAGCGCTGCTGCTTCTCCACAAGATACAGTAATATCTAGCTGCAGACTCACTCACGTTTCAGGCACACAACATCCAGCACACGATCTAGGCAAACCATGTATTGTTATGACCGATGTTATTGTAATTAACGTCCTCTCGGACATCGTCATCAATATATTTTTATATATATTGTTGACAAGTATTGTACACAATAAACAATAGTGTATACTATTTCACAAATATAGTGATGGAGACGGGCGAATGGGGAACATTGTGTCAGATCGCCATCCAACATAATAGACTGAACAGTTTTCTATCAGTCATCATAGAGTCAATATAGCAGATACTTGTTTGCTGGCCATGCTGAAACATTTTACAGAGATATATGAACAATCTAAATTGGACAGGATTAATTAATATAATGAATTCATTATAATGTATATAAATATAGGCTATAATACATCTTTATATGTAACAAAAATCTTTTCACATTTAATGAATGTATAACACTATATTAATATTTTACTCCAGCGATTGAATAGTATTTATTTGCTTAATTTTCTAATAACTTTTATTAATGATTTCTTACATCAAATACTATAGTAAGTTATTGTAAGTAATATATTGTTTTCAAACCATAAAGTACTGGTCATTTGTGGAAGTTATTAGTGTTGGGCAAGCTACTTGAATAATGATATGAGCTAAGCTATTAGCTACTCTACTTTTTCCCCCATGGGAAATGTAGCAAGCTTAGCTAAAAGCTACATGGCAAAAGTAGCTTAGCTGCATCTAAGCTATTTTTACAATTTTCATTTTTATATTGAAGCAACTTAAATCCAAGTCAATGATATCTTAGTGATCAATAAAACTGTCAATGAAACATATAAGGCATAATAGTTCAGATCAATTATTTACTGTAAACAATATGCTGTACTAAACAGAAACACATTTTGAGTATATAACAGCTAAAACAAAAAAAGGGTGGCAGTAACGCACCAAAAACTTTGTTGTTGAACATCGTAAAACAGGAAGAAGAAGAAATAGTCATTTTCGCCATCATGTGGATTTACTTTCATCGGCTATACACCAGCCTCACAGCTCCGTGAATGTCGGTCCCATCACTTATTGATGCGCGATCTGTAAATGCAGCTTGTGTGAACGCAACTGCGCTATAAAACAGCTTCGCTACTGAAAAGCTATTTGATTTAGAGAGTAGTGACGCTACTGCCACGCTACTGAGAAATGTAGATAAGCTAGTAGCATCACTACTTGTAGCGACACTACTGCCCAACATTAACATTTGTAATTATAATTGCAACAAACATAATAATACCAACAAATTAACTGTCAATAATTAATAAAAAAGTAAAAGTTTAGTAAAAGATAAAGTCGTTTATCAGTTTATAACTATATTATTATTATTTTTAACTATAGTAATTCCTTTTAATTTGACACATTACTGTTTGTTTTTTATATTTTACTACGAAACAATTTTAACTATGAAGACAACATTTAGGTCCTGAATTAGTTTATTACACTTAATCCTACAATTAGACAGTCTATTATGTTTTCTTTGTGTATGTGGGTATGTGAAAAAAGTTGTGTGTGTGAAAGTGCTTAACTAATTATTTTTATTTACATAATTTGAGTCCCAAAACTGCACAGATGTTAAAATGATTGTTACGTTATAATACTGAAATAATGACTGGAATGGGAAACCATAAACTGTTCAGTCTAATGAATGGCAATCGTAGCACGGGCCGTCTCGGTGTAGGGCTAAGGGGAATGGGCTAGATAGCCCTTGAAACTGAGATTTTCTAGGAGTACACTAGAATCCAAGGGGTATGAAAATTTCCCGGATTACCCCAGCTACAATAATAACATGGCTCCATACGCGAGTCAGGAGATTCACAAATTTAAGTTGGGTTTTTTTTTTGGCATTATTGAGATTTTTACAACAAAACTGACTGAATTTGGTTGTCCAAACTTTGCGTCATCAAAATACACCTTTATTTGTTGTGAAAACAAGAATGAAATATTGATTATAGTTTTGAACTTTAAATCTCTGTAGTAATATTCTGTCATTTGTTTTGCATAGGCAAATGTGCGGGCACTGACCAAGGGTGTACAGATGGTGATGGGTTACAAACCTGGAAGTGGTCCTGTTGAGGCTGGAAAAGCAAACACAGAACAACAAGCCGGAAAGCCCTGGAAAAAACATGGGAACCGGAACAAGAAGGAGAAAGTGAGAAGACTCAACAAACATCTGGATGCCTGATTTCTTACATGATTGGTTCACAAGTGCAATTCATGTTAGTAGATGTTTGGATTTGATACATCCTTTAAGGCAAAGACATTTCAAATTTCATACCTGGATGTGACTAATAAGTGCTGCTGGACATTCCTCTTTGTTTGAAATGTCATCACTTGTAATTATAATACACTCACTCTATTTTATCATTGTACGGGATGATGAGATGAATGGATACATTGGTAGACACTGATACATGCAGTTCTCCTCATAATAGCAATAAAAGTCATTTTATTCTTTACTAAAATTGTTGATTATTTTTGCTTAAAACTGACAATGATAACATACACTCACCGGCCACTTTATTAGGTACACCTATTAGTACTGGGTTGGACCCTCAATCCTTCAAGGTATAGATTCAACAATGTACTGGAAATATTCCTCAGATATTGTGGTCCATATTGACATGATAGCGTTACACAGTTGCTGCAGATTTGTCGGCTGCACGTCCATGATGTGAATCTCCTGTTTCACCGCGTCCCAAAGGTGCTCTATTGGATTGGGATCTGGTGACTGTATCAGTGACATATCGGCCCAGTCTTATTTGTAATTTACTCAAAGTTCATAATGTTAAGATAAATGCTAAACTCCCTGGAAGAAAATATCCGGTATCTCATTGAGACTATCCTGGTAAAATAAAGAATGAAATGCAATATTTTAAAACTAGTCTAGTAGTTTTAATATCTAAGGAAAGGTATACATTTGTTATACTTTCATATATGTACGTATCTAATGGATTAAGTATATTTTAGATGTTGTGATTAGTAATTAATATCTCTTGTAAGTTCTTACTGCTTTTAATAATTATTTTTGACATAGTCATTATTTAGTCCAAAAATACACTGCAGGATGTCTGTATCGAGCTTTTGTATGTTGACATTAACATTACATAAACATAATTTAAGAAAGTAAAATGTGACTTCTTACCTGTTAAATACGTAAAGAATGATTTCTTAAAGTTAATTTAAAGCAGCCTAAAAGCCAATCATATGTGTGAACGTGCAAGGACGTCATTAATATTAATGAGCTAAGCTTGTGGGCGTTACTGAAATGATACAGGTGATTGAATGGCGTTCATTCATCCACATGATACAGCTGGCAACTAAAGATTGAAGCTAGATCCACTTTTCAGCAGAAGTGAAATAAATGGATAAAAGTATGTTTTTAGACACGGTCTTTCGATGGAGCCCGGAGTTTGTTAAAGGTTGTCTTTCGACATATGAAGAACATATTTGCACTTCGGCTGGTTTTTACATCTTGTCTGCTTTGATATTACTGGTTTCCTGTTCTCTGTGAGTGTCGTGTGATTACATTGAGCCAAATATTTGATAGTTTGTGAACTCTGCTCACATGTTTCTCTCTCTCTCAGGCTTCTTTATCACAGATGTAGCGTTAAAACGCGAAGCAAGAATTGGGGTGATGAAGCGGTCTGCGCGCTGTATTGTTTCGTCGGTAATTTGTGCAGCGCAGTGGGCGCTTTCCTTTCCAACCAGTTTGATTTTCAGGTGAGAAATTAACAAGTGTTTTCTCAGAAGATTTCTAATATTATTATCATCATCATAACCACTTTGGACCAGTGATTGCTCGTTTAAAACATAAAACAGTGCCAACTACAGGGAGGAACAAGTACTCTTCAGAAACAAAAACTGAAAACGCAGAAGTGGAGTACATTGTTGGCTTAGATCTTTAAAATTGTATTCAAAATACGTTTTAATACAATGTCTGGCACTTTAAAATTATAATTTTGAGACCAGGCATGATCAAACTGTCTATACTAGATGTCGAATTGGACATTGTAGGTTGACTCATTTGTATTTACTTAATAATGAAGCACCACCTAAATGTAATTACTGCCAGACTTCTCTTACTGTGAAAAATATTTTGTTGGAATGTGGAAGTTTGAATACCATTAGACAATTTTTATAAGGAGAGTACTTTGATGGACATTTTTAAAAAGGTACCACCTAGAACAGTCTTAAATGATTTATCAAAAAGTGAACTAAAATATCATATTTAATTCTGAATGTATGTTTGTGTGAATTTTATTTATTTCTATTTTATATAGTTGTCTAAGTAACTTTGTATTGTAATACGAATTAGTTTTTTATCATGTAGTATTTATATCCATTTTGCCATGAAATAGCCATAAGTTGCTGATGTGACAATAAATGAATAACTAAATAATAAATAAATGTAAATACAATGTCTGAAAGTAAATTAATTAGCTTACTCAATGCTTGCTTACTCAAAACTCTAACACATAAACACAGTAGCCTACATATAAATCTCAGCACATACAATGTACAAAAACTTTTTAATCCTTTCAATTTGAGCCAAGCAGGACCTTTTAGCTTGATTTAAAAATGTAATACTTAAGGAATAATAAAAATTAAAAACATATTAAAATGCAAAACATTTTAAAGCACATTGTTACAGAATGTCACATATTCCTGACATTCATTGTTTCTCAAGCATGCTCAGTCTTTCTTGATAAATGAAACATTCTTTAACTGAAAATATAATAGTTAATTACTCTGCATCTCTGAATTTATTTATTCAATCTGTTGAATTCATGTACAGTATTTATGAAGTATATTATTATATAAATAACTGTAATTACCTAAAATGTAACGTAATGACCTTATTTTTAATCTAATAATACAGCTAGTTACTTTGAAAGTAATTCCACTCAACACTATTAGTGAGTATTGTCAAGTGTGGTGCATGCACTATTGTGCCACCTTTAATTCTTGCCGGGAATCAAACCTGCAATGCCCTTCCAGCGGCAACCCAACTTTGGGAAACACCCATAAACTCCTGCATTCACACTTATACATTACGGCCGATTTAGCTTACTCAATTAACCTATACCGCATGTCTTTGGGGGAAACTGGAGCACCAGGAGCATGCAAACTTCACACAGAAATGTCAACTCCTCCAGCCGGGACTCGAACCAGTGACCTTCTTGCTGTAAGGTGATCATGCTACCCACAGTGCCACCGTGATGCCCCAAGGCAAAATTATATTGTCTGTAAAGATGGATATTTAGCTCCAGTTATGTAACACATTTGTTACACTTGAAATTGCTTTTTTAATCTAGTTTATAAGTAATTGTTCTAATCTTAATATTATTTGATTCATCTAAACCAGGGGTTCTCAAACTTTTTTCATCAAGTACCACCTCAGAAAAAAAATGTCTTTCCAAGTACCACCAAAATGAGCAGTATTGAAATACACTAGCGTAGTAGGCCCAGTAAAGCACCTACAACTCTGCACAGTTAAAAAAACATGGCAGATTACCTCAGAAATATAGACTATATGTCATATATGGCATATTATATACATCATTTTTAATAAATTTTGAAATCGTTCATTCTTCCGCATACAAATAGAAGGCAGCCTGCATACCACTAGTGGTACACGTAGCACAGTTTGAGAACCACTGATCTAAACTATTTTGTGTGATTTTTATTTGAATCATGTTTTTTTAAAGTAACTTTATAATTATTAGCACTAATATCATTTTACAGAACACTTATTTTTATGTTTCTTATACTATTGTGTTTATTCTGTTCTAGTTGTCACATTGTATTTTCTTTTTACATTTCCTTTATTTTAATAAAAAATTGAAAGCGCTGCAAGCAGATTTTCCAAAAAAACAATAATGGAATGAATGTAATATTGATGATCATCATAATAATATTTAAATAGTTACTTTCACTTAATCTAGAGAGCCATGTTAGCATTCTTGATGAGGTTTTACATTCAAGTTTATAAAAGTCACGTTCTTTACTTCTTTTGCAGATTTCTATGGCATCATACATGGCAATTATGGATGTTGTGAATTTTCTGTCAATATCTTTCTCCATGTATTTATGGTTTAAGTCAAGAACAGGTAAGGATTTGTTCTATTGGGTTTACCTTGTTGGTTGCTTGTTTTAAACTCCAGCATATCTTATTCACCATGTCCACACATAAAAAAATGTACAGCGTTGCTGCTCTGTGCTTGCCTATTAGATATTCGCATTAATGGGCATCTGAACAGGTTATGTAATAAAGTGGCGGCTAACTCTACATCTATCTCACAATGTGTTTGTGCTGTCAATCCCATCAAAATAAACGTCTCATCCTTCATGTTCTCAAGGAAGGAAAATGAGAATGATTTCAAGAAGGAGGAGACAGAACTTTCTAGCGGTGTGTTTGCTGTTTATTATGGCTGGCAGTGTTTACTTGGGTTTACCAGTCCGTTCAATTCCAGTAAGAGCATCTCCAACCATGAGGAGATTATTTGGCATGTTCCTCAATGTAAGTAAAGTCATTTTCAGAGTAAAGTGTATAGCATCATATCTGATGATTTATGTAATCTTCGTACGCCTGCTCATAAAGCATTTTGTATATGGGCTATGTGTACTTTTTGCATGTGTATTTTGAAAACAGGACCATACTGAGAACCTCGGTTATGTTCTGGGTCTTCTGGCTTTCGCTATCAGCTGGACCTCCAAGTTTCCCTTCATCTTGAAAGCTGTGAGTGGCAATTCTTAGCAATTTTGAAAAGCTGTCATCTATTTTCTAAAATAGTTGTACAATTTAGCCATATTTGTACAAAACAGCATAATAATAATCATAATAATAATTTGTTGTTGTTATTGCTATTAATAACAACAATGGTGATTATAATTATTATTGTCATTATTTAACTTTTTTATTATTTGTATAATTTTTAATAAATATATATCCATCAATCCAATTATAATTTAGTAATAATAAAATATACACAGACTATAAATCCATTTATTAATGAATATTGATGATGATAATAACAATACTTATTATTATTATTAGTAGTAGTAGTACTAGTATTATTAATATTATTATTAATAATATTCATTCATTGAATTATTTTTTTTTTTCAGCTTAGTCTCTTTATTAATCAGGGGTTGCCACAGGGGAATGAACCGCCAACTTTTACAGCATATGTTTTACGCAGCGAATGCCCTTTTAGCCGCAACCCAAAACTGGGAAACATTATTATTATTATTATTATTAATATTATTATAATTGCCATATTTTATAATCTTATATATAATTTGTATTTGGGTAATAATTTTAATAATTTTGAGATAATAGTCTTATCTTTTTCAGAACAGAGGAGAGCAGGGATCTGCAGTGCTGGTGTCCTCCAGACTCCTGTCTTCTGTAGCTGGAGCTCTTTATGGATCTGCTATTCTTCTCTACGACACACAGCTAAAATCAGTTATCAAGACAATGCCATGGATACTCTCTGCTATCTGTGGTTCCATTCTGGATCTTTCTGTATCCTTTGACTGACTGAATCTAGTTCTGTGTTATCAGAAAGACTATTTAAATCTTTTTTATTTATTATGCCTTGACTATTATATACCCAGTTTCAAAGGCAAGTCTTAAGGATAGTTCTTGACTAAATTGAGTGTATGAGCCATCTTAACTTTTGTGCGCTGTTTAAATTGACAACCCTTGCATTATGTTGGTGGCTGTTTTTGCCCCATTGACTTCCATTTGACAATTTTCCATTAGACATTTTTTGATTGCAAAGCCACGACAGCATATAATCTTGCATTCTCGATTGTTGCTGGTTTTCCCTGTTGGGAAATGGTAAAGTTGGCGACATTAAACTTTTAGATAGGCCTGTGGAAAAACGTTTCTGGCTTTTATATGGAGTTCTATAGAGTAAAACAGCAAATTATAGTGTGCGATCATAATTACACTTACTATGATTTCTGTGTTGTGAGAGATGAGCAGCTTATTTTTTTATTTTCTCAAACATATCAAGTTAAGTGCACAAAGGTTTCTCTCACACTTACACACCCTATAATTTTTATCCAGAAACTAAGTTTTTTTTGCACTGCAACTTATGATCCACAGTAAAGATTAGTAAATGTACCTCTTCACAACAGTGGAAACTAGCAATAACCATTTTTTTTTGTGTCATGGCTTTGCAATCCAAAAATGTCATTATAATGAAAGTCAATGGGGCAAAAACTGCCATGAACATAATGAAAGGGTAGTAAATTTGCCCTGAGTGTATTGTAGAAGAAAATCATAGCATTTTCCTAAAATCTGTCAAAATAAGGTTTTTCACCAAAAATTGTTCCATTTGCTGAAAGTTGCAGCCAAATTAAGACTCAATCACCCCAGAATGGGTTGTTGTATGGAGATAAATTCTCCTTAAGATACTACACCAGCTGAATCGTGATACCAAATAGTGTTGCAATACTATAATTCATAACTCAAATTATAATGAAACTTGTCAGGAATACTATATTTTACATGTTGTTATTATACTTGAATTTAATTTATTCATAATTCTTTTATTATTGAAAAAGTATTATTTGCACGTCACTTTACCTAAAAAGGTTTCACTCCATTTGGTTTATTTTATAGATAACTGACCTACAAAAATACATTAAAATAAAGATATAAACTATACCAAATGAAATTTGTTACAAACAGAGCATTTTTCCAACAGAATTAGGCTATATGAAGTTAAATTGTTACATAGTTTTAATGTTTTCTGTTGCTATTTTGTTTTTTTCATCTATTTTTTTTTCTTCTTAGGTAACAATGCAAAGTAATTAAATTTTTCTCTTTGAGTTGTTCTTTTTAAGAGATTGCTGTGGTTTTTGTAGTTACCAAATCATACTGACCGGAACAAAAATGAACCGATTCAGGTGTATGTTTAAAACGTCAGAAAACATCTGAAAATGTAACTAGTGACCACATGCAACACTATCTATTGTAGGTGCCGATACTACCATTTACAAACTACTGTGGCACCGCCAGCATTTTGAAGACATAGTATCGTGATACTACCGTAGTACTGGTAAACTGTGCAACCCTACCCCAGACTGGATGAAAACGTCCCGAGCAGCACATAAGAGTTAGGTAAAATAGCATACCAGTAGTGTTTTTACATTTACAAAAAAATTGTAATTTAAATGACAAATTTTTTTTAAATAAATTAATCAATTGCCTTATTTAGTGAAGATGTAGTCCTAACTTAAGCTAACAGGGTCCCCGCGGGTCCTTAAAAAGTCTTAAAATGTCTTAAATAAAATTTTCGATTTTTAAGGTCTGAAAATGTCTTAAATTCTGTAATTTTCCATAAGGAGGTCTTAAATTTCATGTGGGATCTTAAATATCATGTCCGACTCGTCTTATGGCGGCAAATCAATGCCAATATAAATCGAGCGCAGCGGTGATGTTTGCGCGTGAGGAGAAGTGAACCGTGAGCAGATTACAGGTCTACACGCGAGAAAATTACAGCTCGCGAGCGCACAGGGGATCTTCACGCGCGCGCTCAACTGATCCAGCGCGAGAAAACAAGTCCCGCGCGTGCACATTATCATCTGTGCGCACGATGTACGCTCTCGCGAGCGAGGTCATGCCTACAGCGCGCGCGCGATCAGTTCTCTCCGCTCGCTCGCTGGTTCTTCTCTCTGCTCGCGCGAAACAGTTTAGATTTTTGTGAGTCCTAGGGCGGGACTTGGTTTTCTTGTTATCTCTAACGCTATTGGCTACTCTACCTTTCCAGAAGTTAGCCGGGATTGGACGCAGGTAAGCTAGTTTCCCCGTTAAATAAAATTATATAGGAAATCTTATCATAATGTCACAGTGTGAAACATAGACTTACTTTCTCAGTAATAATAGGTGGAGACTTACTTTCAATAATGAGATATTTTTTGTAATAATTAATCTCATAATAATGCCTATTCTTACCATCATGACCAAGTCATATAATGACATATCAAAATAATGAGATATATTTCTGTAACAAACTTTATTACTTGGGAGAGAAAGAGAGAGTTATACCATGTGGCAAAAGATCTCTCCATTAAACAGAAATTGGGGAAAATATACATGGGCTATTAAATCAGGACGAATAATTCAGACTTTAAATGTGTTTTGAACCATTTGATGAAGTTTAGCACCTACATTTAAACTGAACTCAAACTAAACGTGTTCAAATTTACAAAAATCTTTTTTTTTTCTAAGATTCATTGTCCTTGACTCATTTTCTGTGAAGAACAAGTCAGAATAAATTGGATGGACAATAGTATACAAAATAGGCTATACATGCATGCAGTGCATAAAGTACAAAGGTTTATAGTAAATATATTGCCATTAGTCTGTTATTCCACTATACAGTTAAAGTCAGAATTATTAGCCCACCTGAATTAATAGCCCCCTGTTTATTTTTATCCTAATTTTTATTTAACGGAGAGAAGATTTTTTCAACACATTTCTAAACATAATAGTTTTAATAACTCACTTCTAATCACTGATTTATTTTATCTTTGCCATGATGACAGTAAATAATATTAGACTAGATATTCTTCAAGACACTTCTATACAGCTTAAAGTGACATTTAAAGGCTTAACTAGGTTAACTAGGCAGGGTAATTGGGCAAGTTATTGTATAACGATGGTTTGTTCTGTAGACTTTCGAAAAAAATAAATAGGTTAAAGAGGGTAATAATATGGACCTTAAAATGGGTTTTAAAAAATTAAAACAGCTTTTATTCTTGCCGAAATAAAACAAGAAAAAAGTGGGCTACTAATTTTGACTTCAACTGCATATGTGACCTTTAAGATGTGGGCCTGTCGTATAGAAAGTAGTATTTGTGTGCCTCTGAAGTGGAATGATGTAATGGATAGTGAGTAAAGCCAAACGAAGATTGTAGAAATTAAATTGTTGCTCAATAGGTGGCGATAAAAACCCATCTGAATGTCTGTCACTGTATTCTTTATGTTTAATTGGGCTAATCATTTTTGATTGAAGTCTTTATATGCAGGTTATTCAATCATTAACTAAAAATGAGATTGAAAAATATATATAATATATATAGATATATATATTTTACACTGATCTATATTACAAACAATGTTAACAATTATGTATAAAGATAAATTAATTATAATTATCTATAAAGATCTAAAACGCAAATAAACTCTTCTGAAGACAATATTTCCTAGAAAGATCATCCCCAAGTGTAATAATGAGCACTGCTGTTGTGGTTAATAATGAAGTAAAATACAACAAACCAGACAAGTGCTGCACGGACAAATCAAATGGGTTCAGAAAGTCATGTTACAAGAATGCAAGTCATTATTTTGGATATTATTTGACTGTTTCTCGAGATTGAATCCTCATAAAGTTCATAAAGTTCTCAGAAAGTTTCTTATGATTATGACTTGCAAATTGTATATATATTTAACGGCATGATCTTTTAACTTGCGTCCAATCCCGGCTAACTTCCGGAAAGGCACAGTAGCCAATAGCGTTAGAGATAACAAGTAAACCAAGTCAACCAAGTAATCTGCTCACGGTTCACTTCTCCTCGCGCGCAAACATCACCGCTGCGCTCGATTTATATTGCCATCGATTTGCCGCCATAGATTTGCCGCCATACTTCACCACATCATTCTGTGTTCACACTGAACATTTTCCTGTTTTTTTTTTTTTTTAGGTAAAGTCTTAAATTTTCATTTTAGAGGACTTAAAAAGGTCTTAAAAGGTCTTAAATTTTCTGTTAAAAAATGTGCAGATACCCTGAGCTAAGCCCTGGTTGTGAAACCAGCCCATAGTGTTTGCATGGGTGAGCATGAAATTGGTCATATGATGCCTCGTAATCTATCTCTTACACAATTAAACAGAAAACAGCTCCTGAATGTGTGTGTTTTAATGTGGGCACGCACCATGTCATTGAGTGTTTTTAAGTGTTTTAAACTAAAACTTTTTACTGTTAAACTAAATTCAATTCATGTTCATTTCTTTAGCACTTTTACAATGTAGATTGTGTCAAAGCAGGCAAAACATAGAAGTTCTAGTAAAATAAAACTGTGTCAGTCCAGTTTTTAAAGTTGAAGTTCAGTTCAGTTTAGTTCAGTTCAGTGTGGTTTTTTTCATTGCTGAAAGTCCAAACACTAAAGAGAAATCCATCGATGTGCAGCTCAACAAGTCCCAAACCAAGCAAGCCAGTGGTGACAATGGCGAGGAACAAACTTCACCAATTGACGAAAATGAAGGACAAAAACTTTGAAAGAAATCAGGCTCAGTTGGGCACAACTATTTCTCCTCTGGCCAAACTTCCTGTGCAGAGCTGCAGTCTAGGTGCTTGAGAAAGCTAGACGTTCATCGTGGAGAAGCTACAGGTGTGTGTAGGTCACCAGCGAGTGTTCCGGCTGGTCCACGAGATCAATGCGAAGTCTCGTCTGTCACTGAGGTCTTTCAGGAATCAGTCTCAGCATTACTCCAGGGTTATTTTCTCAAAATACTGTAACAAGATACTGCAATACCAACACCATAATTAAATGTTTGTGTTTGCATTTGCTTTAGAAACCTTGGTAGCTGAAACTCATAATTACGGTAAATTCCCAACACTCTCTTGATGTTTTGTCCAGTCACAAAGCACTGTACCAGCTGGCCAATCAGAGGGCTTTTTAGATTTTAAAAAAACTGATAGTATTGCTGTAAGGTGTCAAAAATCAGGTTTTTAACAAATGTAAAAAATAGATGATAGCCTCCTTAATTAGTGAACAACACTGAATAATGGGTCAGTCTTTAACGTTGATGTGTCAGATTGTGGTCCTCGTCTGTTACAGATCCAGTCACAAGCGTCCCTCTGTGCGCTCTTTAGACTCGGACACTGAGTCTTTACTGGGTGAACCTTCAGTCACAGGTCAGCTATGCAACAACAATGAATGTTGCAGGAAGAAACACCATCTTTCCACTGCAAGAGGTATCTCTCCCAAAGGAACAGACATGGGACTCTACATGGATGTCAACATACAGCCAATGAGAAAGGTTTGGACTTGTTCTGTTTTGTCAATCCAATCACAAGTGATATCATTTGTCCACATACAGTAGGTATTTGAAAAAGCATATGATCAGATTACTATTGTAGTGCAAACTCTCATGTGGTCAAATGTGTTCAAATCGCCATAAAGACCTACTGAAGTCATTCTTAAACATTACAGAAGGTTATGTTAAAGCACGCTAGCCAAACAGAATTCACACTTTCTTTAAAGGTAAAAAAAAAAGGTTTGGTGGCTTTATAAATACTAGCATAATAAATGATATGCTACCTTCATGAAATCTTTGAAAATCATCTAAATGATGTGTGGGAAGGCAGCGTCTCACAGCAAGAAGGTTTCCTCTGCGTGCTCCAGTTTCCAGTTCAAAGACTTGTGGTATAAGTGAATTGAATAAACAAAATTATCCATGAGTGTGTGTGTGTGAATGAGTGTGTATGAGTGTTTCCCAATGCCAGGTAGTGCAATACTGCTGGAAGGGCAATTGCTGTGTAAAACAAATGCTGGAATAGTTGGTGGTTCATTCTGCTCTGGTGACCTCTGAAATAGAGACTACTGTAAGCTGAAGGAAAATGAATAATGGGGGAATTGATTTGATTTTGTCTAAAATTTCCAGCTTTAGTTAAGTTTGCAGAACTTTATTTGCCAACAAAGTGAAGTTTTAGTCAGTGGTGTAATTCTTTAATGAATTGTCAATGTTTTAAAACATGCATTATAACATCGACATGCTGTTAATAACTTCGTTTTGTGCAAAGCAACACACAAGGATGCAATTTCAGTCACCAAAATGTGGCACAAAAATGATGATGCTTAATTCAGTGTAGACAAATTGTGTTATATAAAATTAAACGTGAACAGTGTATAAAGTTTAACGATATAAATGTAATATAAACTCATTAAAAATAAAAGGAAAAAAATATTTTTGTAAAATTTTATTTTCTTTTTCACCACTTTACCTTTTACTCAGTGTATTTAATTGTACTTTTAAAGAAACGGTACAGTATGTAAATGTTAGAAAAGGCCTATATACAGTTGCAATCAGAATTATTAGCTCCCCTTTGAAATATCTTTTTTATTTTTATTTTTTTTAATTTTTTTTCCTAAATGATGTTTAACAGAGCAAGGAAATGTTCACATTATGTCTAATAATATTTTTTTCTTCTGGAGAAAGTCTGGAGAAAGTTTTATTTTGGCTAGAATAAAAGCAGTTTACATTTAAAAAAAAAAAAAAAAAAAAAAACACCATTTTAATGTCAATATTATTAGCCCCTTTAATATTTATTTTTTTCTCGATAGTCTACAGAACAAACCATCATTATACAATAACTTGACTAATTACCCTTACTTGCCTAGTTAACCTAATTAACCTAGTTAAGCCGTTAAATGTCACTAAGCTGTATAGTAAATATTATTTACTGTCATCATGGCAAAGATTAAATAAATCAGTTATTAGAAATGAGTTATTAAACCTTGTTTAAAAATGTGTTGAAAAAATCTGCTCACTGTTAAAAATAAACAGGGAGGCTAATAATTCAGATTGCAACTGTATATACTTGTCCACTCATCAGAAAAGTGCCCTAAAATTCTTTTCTTTTCTTCTGCTCGCAATCTAATCATCATAACACATATTAATACCATGTGTAAATGTGCTCTGAGTTTTGCTTATGTCTGGTTTCTCCTCCAGGTTTGTCTGAAGGAGGTGACCATCTCGCGGGACGGCTCCTCAGAGAGTCTTCCTCTGAAGAGGACTGTCAGGGTGGTGCGGGTTGATGAACACTGTTCCTGTGGCAGCTCCACTGACTCGTCCTCTCTCGACTCTGAACTAGAGGTTAGACCATTTGGGTTTTTCAGCTGCACATATACACATGACCCGGTGTATGTCAGCTAAATGTATGCACTTAAGCACTTATGATAATAGTAGAAAAAAAATATTAAAAATTAAAAATAAGTAAAATTTAGGTAAAAATTTACTTTTTAAATATTTACATGTACATTATTATAAACATTATATTATTGCATTACAGTATATAATATAGATATAATATATATTGTGTATGTGTCTGTCTGTATCTATCTTGGTAGGCATCATAATTATTTAATTATTAAATTAAATTAAATAAAATATATACACACACAAACATAAATGATGTATAGTCATGGCCCGGATTATTAGCAAATTATACATTTATATTAATATACTTAAAACATGCATGAATGTTATGATTTTATTGAAATTAGGGCTACTATAAATATTATTATAAGAAATATCTATAACAACAATAATATTTATATAAATTGCAGATTCCAAATTATTGACACCCTTTAAAAAAACTTGTTTATAGTATAAAAAAATGTTAATGATTCAAATAAAAACTAATATTTAGAAAAACTAATGAACCCAATGCAGTTATTGTATTTTGCAGTACTGTTTTCTGAGGGCAGGTGGTAGCAGAGTTTTAAGACTGGAAATAAATTGCATTTAAAATGAGTTTCTTTAGTATCTTTAGTTTTCAGTATCATTTATACACTTACTAAATGGAAAGAAAACAGTTTCTGTATAATCGAATTACTCAGAAAGCATATCAATATAATCTGAATGTTAAACATTATCCCCTGAAAATTGTTGTTGTTGTAGTCTGGTCCTTTTTTGGCTTTCTAAACAGGCTTTTGAGAATGCCAAGTGATTGAGGATGTCATTTAATCTAACACAAAGGCGAATCGCCCTGCGTGAAAACAATTGAACTTTGTTTTATTCACTAAACAGGAAAATGCTAAGCATGTGAACCTCCGCAGACGCCGTGTGCGATAAAGCCTAGAGTTTAGACCATCACATCTTTCTGGATGTCCAGCACAGCCTTGACAAATGTATGGTTTCCGACAGCTCGTATTCACAGTGTAATTTCTTAGAATACAGAATTAGTCATTGTTTTAATATGTAATATTACATAAAGACTCATTACTAGCTGTCAAAGTTAAAGGGATAGTTCATTTAAAACTGAAAATTGCCAACATTTACTTATGCTTGTTTTAAACACTTTCGTTTTTTTTTTTTGTTGTTGAAAGAAAGCTATTTGATATTTCAAGAAACCTGGAAAACAGTAACCATTAACTTATTGAAGTCAATGGTTACTGTGTAACGGTGATTGTGTTGGCTTAAATAAGTCTTGTAAATTCACAAGTGTCCGCTGAGGGAAGGATCATCGTACCATTCTAGTACTGTCGGTATAAGAGTAGATGGAATGACTACTTTGTAGTGAACCATTTCGTCTGCTAGGTGGGTGATGTGATACAGCTTGTCTTCCAACACGGTGTACTGGTCTTGTTCCTGTTGCTCATTTTTAGCCAGAGCTTGAAAGATCTTCATGATGTCCGAGTCTTTGTGTTGTTTCTCCCAGATGGTTTGTGGGGTGACAGGGATTTCGGGCAGATTCTTTTTAGGTTTGGTGGAATTCATTACCAATTGCAGAGCAGAATAGTTTGTAACTACTGTAAACATCCTAGGTTCCAAATAGTGCTGATACTTGTATAAAGCCCACACCACCGCCAGACACTCTTTCTCCGTGGTGGAGTAATTTAAGTTCTGCCTTAGTCAAGGTTCTACTGGCATAAGCAATTACTACTTCGCCACCCTGCTGTTTATGTTGGGTCAAAACAGCCCCTAGTCCTGGGGTCCGTTCTTCGTACCTCGCTTAAATGATCTAAGATTATTTGGCAGATCCTGGATCTTTTAATCTTGATAACTGATCTCTCGCTAATTTGGTTTCTTAAAACCAGTTCGCGAATCAGATTAGAATGTCTGGATGAACTGATCTGAGATCGCTGCATGTGTTGTGAAGGACAGATCTATCGATCCTCGAAATCATGATCAGCAATGCAACGATTGGCTGACGGCACAGCAGCGTAATGATACCGTCTGATTAATATTCAATTATCCATGTGAGCAAAATTAGATCAAATTAGCAGTAAGCGGCTTGTTAAATATGACGCGCAATAACCTCCCACATTTGTTGTGAGCTGCAGGCTTTACACTTTCATGTGTCAAGAGTATTCATCATGTATTTCAATGCAAATCAGTGTATTTAGTTCTACATTTAGAAAAGATTTTCTTTATTATAGAAGGCGTTTTTTAATCGGTGTAAAGAATAACTGGTTGTTTACAAAAGCATTTTCATATTGGTAAAGGCGTCTGCAACTTTTGTGAAGCATCAAATCACTGGCATATTAACTATCAAAACATGTTTATGACTGCATAAATGTATTATTGCTTTTAAAAAAAGTCACATATTGTGCATTTCTATTATACACAATTTGTACTAAGCGATCTAAAAAGTTAAAATCAATAAGTTTTCTCTTTGCACCACCAGGTGGCAGTCTTTGTACTTTCATTTCGAGGGTGCAGATTGCATACGTTTTATTAACATGTATAACTTAATTTATTTTATTAATGACTATATATAGTTAAAAAATATGTACCATTTTCCCAAGTGTATATAACTACTACTGTAAGAAAATATCAGAATTCGGAACATACTTTCTGTATTATCTTTGCTTGAACTAAGCCAATCTAATCCTGTTTATATGAATTGAACCTGCTCCCGATCAGGTTTGACCTAGCAGAACTGTTGCTATGACAACAACTCTCGGATCAGCTTTGAAGAACGAAACGATCCTGGATCGTGTCAAATCGTCAATATCCAAATCCAGCTAACTGAGTAATCCACGTATGAAGAACGGACCCCTGATTCACTGGGATCAATACACGCAGTGAAGGTTAAGGTCTGGATGGCCCAGGATGGCATGTGTGATAAGACAGAACTTCAGATTGTTAAATGCTTGCTGGCATTGTGAATCCCACCTGAATTCTCATCCTTCTATTTGCTACCTAAACTTCCATCTTGCCCCCGGAACTTTTGTTCGGACATTCTAGGAAGGACAGGTCGGAATAGCTCCCCCTAGTGGCGCTTAGAAAAATTTTGGAGTGGCATCTCATATTATTTAGAAGACTTGCTTTGTGTACCAAATAAATTTGATCTAAATGGATTTGCATTGTAAACATTAAATACAACTTAAAAGGTATTTGTTTTTAGTTCATATACTAAGGTTTCATATATTAAAAATGGCAGCAGATTCTGTCTGGCCCTACTTATGGGTAAAACAAAGACCATGCAGGTCGGGTAGTTGAAACCATAGGCTACAAATAATTAATTTATTATGAATTAATTAATCAATAATTAATTCACCGCCGCTATGTCATCTTCCATCAAAATGTTTCACATTAGACATCGTACGATGCCAAATTGGTCAACATCACCCAACCCTAGCATGTGGTTAACTATTTATGTGCCATGGGTAAAAGATGTGTCTTAATCTGGCTACCAACCCAAGTGTATTTCAAACCTGTGGGAAGCACTGGGGCTGAATGAGCTTTCCAGAAGTGTGTGGAGCATTCACACGCTATTCTAACAGAAACAACAAAACAAGCCAATCTCATCCAGCCTAAATGACCAGTAATGGATTCAAGCCCTAAATGTTTAAACTGTAGTCAAACAAGATGGAGAGGAAGACGTTACTACTTTAAGGCCCCGTTTACACTAGTGCGTTTTAGTTTGAAAACGCATAAGTTTTGCTACGGTTACGCCATCCGTCCACACTACGCCGGAGTTCTCGAGCGCCGAAAACGGAGCGTTTTGAAAACGCTGGAGAGGCCGTTTTCATTCTGAAACGCTGCTGCTCCGTCCCAGTGTGGATGAGGAAAGACGGAGACATCTGAAAACGGAGGCGGGGCTGCAAACGTTCGCCTATCTGATTGGGGCTTTTCCTCAATATTAAGTAGCCCACACACACAGTTCAGTCTCGCATCCTCTTCTTGTAAGTTAAGACTTCGCAAGTTTGATCAAGGCTGCAGTCTCCCCCTTCTCAGTTTGATATGGAAAACATACCGAGGACACGGGTAAATCTTCAAAGGGAACAGTGTACTTTATAACTTCATCACCTTGGCTACGTTGTTTCACTTTCTCAACAATAAAATGTAAACATGATTTAAGGAACTGCCTATTTTCTTTTTAATATTAGCAACTTAACAGACAGCAGAAATGTTGAGGCGTCGTGCTGCATATATGAGCGTCATCTTCAGTGTGGATATTTATAACAAAACGGAGCCAATAACAACTGCCTCCTTTCAATTTCAGTGAAAATACGAAACATACCCTCTCTTTTGCTGAATATCAGTTTTAATAATCGATAATTATAAAAGTATAACATACAATAAGTTTATACATTGTAGGAAATAAAGGCGATCAGTCAATGTACCTGGATTAATCATTAACTTATCTTTGCGCTTAACCAAATCATGTTACCCGTGAACAAGTAACTTAATAGATTCCAATGACCAAAGTCAGGGAATTGGCCTATGTCGATAAAGACAACAACATGAAGGAAATATCACGTTTAGCAAATATAGTGAGATTAGATCCAGCGGGAGATGCTTGATGAGCAGTCCGACAAGCAGAGCTCTCATCTGGGTAGAAATGCTGGAGCGCTTGCCCGAGAGTGTGTGTGTGGTCACGTGATGTGCGTTTTCAGCGTTTTGGTGTGGACGGAGAGCTGTTCAGAAACGCTGGGTAAAACGCGAGTGTGGACGCGGATCGTTTTCATTCTACAACGCCGTTTTAAAACTAAAACGCACTAGCGTAAACGGGGCCTAAGACTGAACCAGGACATTTCTGAATGTTGGGTGCATAGCTACTTTTTCTCATTGTCTTGGTTAGTAAAAGCATCAATGACCCAATTATAGCACTTCAACAACAAAACAATTATTTAAATAAATCCAAAATGATAAAAAAAATGTCAATTTGAAATGATTAAAATGATGAATATGGTAAAAAAAATAGTTAATTGTCCTTTATCAGAATGTGAGATTCTTGCAATTCCTTTCGATTGTGTGGCTTACAGTAAAGCAGCAGTGAAAGGGAAAGCTGGGCTTGGTGTTCCAGAAATTCATGATTGTTCTGCTGTTAAAGATCTGTAATAAAGGAACAGGGCAGGACCTTTCTGCATCGGAAGTGGTACAAAATGCTTGTTCAGTCTACAGGAGATTTGGCCCTCTGCTCTGCTATTTTGGGAGTGGGTCTGTCGCCCGCCCCGATGCATGGAGAGCAGAGGACAGGCCGAGGGGTTTTCTTAACCCTACACACTGAGGAGGGGCTGTTTGTGTCTGTGCGAATGAACTATGCAACTCTCTTATGCCAAAAGTGGTTTAATAGCTAATTTAGTTGCTGTCATTTCATTCTAAACCCATAATAGTTAGTTGAAAAAAAGCATAGCAATTGCATGTACCTTTTTGCATGTTGGTTTTAAATAATAGTAAATGATTTGTAAATGTGTTCAAGCTTTATTGAGTGATCATTTATAAATCATAATTTATTCATTTATTTTATAAACATTTACCAATGAATTTCTAATCAAGTGTAATTACTTTGCAAATACTATTTATTAAGTATGTTTGTATATTTTACTTACTAAATTATTAAATATTAGTTACTTAATTACACTGTAAAAAATGCTGGGTTCCACACAATTCCTTCATGTTGTCCCAACACAAATAGATTAAGTTAACTTAATGGTTCTTACAGATTTAAGTGGATTGAACTTGAAACAAATAAGTTGTCCCCCAAAAAAAACCTAAGAATTGTGTTGTTTCAACTGCTTTTACATAAGTAGTTTAATCAAGCAGCAAAAGTCAGTTTATGGGTTATTATTTAAATTAATTGGGTTATTAAATATTAATTAAATGTGTATTTCATATGGAAAATATAATTTACTATAAATGTATATATATAATATAATATAATAAAAAAATTATTAATTATTTGGTCTTGGTCCTTTTGTGTTTTATTTTTGCTCTTACACAACATTCTTTTAAAAGCATTTTTTCATTTGTTTATGAAGTGGGACTTTGGAGAAACAAAATCGCAGTGGACGCCGGTAGAAGAAGCTCCAGAAGATCTGCAGAAAGTTATGCCTCTCCAGGAATGGTCAGTGGGTTCGAGTGGCAGACTAGGATCTCATGTCTGCTTCTGCAACCGTGCACAGCTGGCAGAGAAATTGGCCTCCAAATAGACAGGTGCCACTAAATCCAGTGCTGTTTCGTCATTAATGCATTTGAGTGTTTTTGAAGTCAAATAAAGCAGTGTATTTCACATTCAGATACCGAGTCTAAAGCTACTGTGTCATCCTTCTGATCAGGCTCATTTCTGAGTTTAGGCAGGACCTCAGAGAAAAACTTTTTTTTTTCCATGCACATCAATTTAAAAATTTTCATATTCTTGTGACTTCATGTACAATTTGGCTGATTATAAATAACAACTTATTGTACTAAAACTGTGGAATTTTTTTTCTTTCTTCTTTCTTTTTTTCAATGCTTGCAGCATTTTTTTGAATTATGCAGTGATTAAAAGATTCTTCTCAGGAAAAAGCAAGGCAAGTTTATTTATATAGCACGTTTCATACACAATGGTAAGAAACGAGCATAAGAAAATAAAAACAAGAAGGAATAACAATTTCTAAAAATGGATAATAAACCTAATTAAAATGTTAAAACGGGCTTAAAAGGAATGAAAAATAAAATAAAGACTGAATAATGTGATCTGTCGGACCTAGCACAGTGCTCATTCAGTAGAGGCACAGCTAAACAGATGTGTTATCAGTCTTGATTTGAATGTACCTAATGTTAGAGCACATCTGATCATTTATGAAAGCTGATTCCAGCAGTGAGGGGCGTATTAGCTGTAGGCATATTCACCCTGCTTTAAATGTTCTCTTGAAATTTCTAATTTACCCGATTCTAATGATCTGAGTGATCTGTTAGGTTTGTGATCAGTGAGGATATCTGTAGATTATTGTGGTCCTATAAGCCATTTAGTGATTTATAGACAAGTCATAATACTTTCATATCCATTGAATGTAACTGGGAGCCAGTGTAAAGACCTGCGGACAGGTATGATGTGCTCTGATTTTCTGGTTAGAATCCTAGCGGCATCCTTTTGGACGAGCTGTAACTGTCTGCTTGTATTTTTGGGAAGGCCCATAAAGAGGTCGTTACAGTAATCCATCCTGCTGCTGATAAAAGCATGAACGAGCTTCTCTAAGTAAGAAACTTTCACTCTAATATGTTTACAAAAAATAAAACACCAATTTCCAGTCTGACTTCATCCAATGTTCAGATATTTGAAATGTATCCAAGCAGTGTTGGGTTAGTTACTTCAAAAAGTATAGACCTTTTCCCATTTGCGAGTTTCTTAGTAGCAGAAGGCGTCATAGTTGGGTTAACTTAGAGCGCAGTGAATGGGGGAGTACAACAAATAATTTTTTACAAAAGGAAAACTCCATGAGGGTAATTTCAAGACTTCCAGAAAAAGGAAAAAATAATATGTTGATGACTGCAAAGAGGAGAGAATAACATCAAACGTAATCTCAGTCCCATAGATTCTGCATTAGAAACACCTCGCATACGCGGTAATTCGTTGTTGTTGTTTTTTTTTTGTAATTTGACGTGAGGATGATTTAATGCATTATAAATGCATAGAAATGTTCATGTTTTTTTTTTTAAAATGCAAAATATTAGAAACTTTCAAGGATTTAAGATTATGATGACAGTTAAACCTGCCATTAAAGTCTTGTGGAAAGGGTCCATTTAATTACATTTCAATTTTATTTAAATGACTTTTGTAATTACTTTGCCTGAAACATAATTTATATTTTGTATATTTAATTATAACATAATTATATAAATAAATAGTAAAAATTCACACAAAGCTCCATGCATAGACAATAGAAGTTCAAGGCAAACAAGACTTTTTGGTTTTGTTTTTTAAAACATTTAACACTTAAAATTTCAACAATACATGTATTAAAACACAATGTTTCAAATAATGACTCCATATTTCATCATATATTATTTGGCATAAATTGAAACGTCATGGTTTCTTAAGCATGTGCAATTGTTGGACAAAAATAAAACCTGTAGCTGAAAAATTTAGTTAATATGCAAAATGTCTGAATGACAAAAATATTGGCTGTGTGTCAAGCTGGTTTAAGCTGGATTTAGCTGGTCATTCCAGCCTGACCAGCTAAGACCAAGCTGGAAACCAGCCTGGAAATGGCCAAAACCCCTCTAAAACCAGCCTGGTCGACCAGTTAAAACCAGCCAACCAGCCTAGGCTGGTTTAAGCTGGATTTTTTAGCAGGGCGCTGTTTTCAAGTTAGTGCATATAGCATGTAAACTTGTAAACAAAAGCATGTAAACAAATGCAGTTCTCAACGTAATCAATCAACTGTTGATAAATCTGAATGTTTTTGCTGTATCCCCTGCAGTCTCTGCCCTTAAACAGTGAAGTGGACGATATGACTATTGTTAGCAGCTTTAGAAAGCTGATCTACTCTTGTATCCTTCCCTGTTGGCGACTAAGTCGCTGGGCACTTCCCTGTCATTCACACCGGCGGCTCTTTCCATTGTCGTCCCTTTTCCTCTCCAGAGCCGCGTCTCTGATTAATGGGATGGCTCTGAAAACCTTATCGGACCTGTCGTTTGCATAGACGATACAGAACACTGACAAATGTTGGGAGGTGTCACATTAACTGCCCTAATAAAAACAATATCACCCTTTCACAGGCTCGCCAGGTCATGAGGTCACTTCCTTTATTTTGATAGTTTGTGCCGGTTTATTTGAGCCTGACTGGACGTGGCCCAGCGGCGCGAGATAAGATGCAGACGAGACCGCGAGCGATTTCAGCATTTTTGCCGTGGCTCCAGACTCGGCCTGCCTTGGCTTGTGACTTTGCCTCCCATGCCCTTTGTATCTCAGTCATTTGAGTTTAACAAAAAGGTTTTTAGGAGGCTTCCGCAATGCCTGATAGCAAAGGCAGTGTGCTGATTAGTGTATGTCAAGCACATGAGGACATTTCTTGTCCTAGCGGCTTTGTGTTGGAGATGGAAATTATGCGAAGGCCCACACAGAATCAGCAGAGATTATCACAGAAATCAGACGCCTGCGATTCAAAGTTCTGCACATTCTGTCTTGGGTTATTTGTGTGTGTGTTTGTTGTGCTTTAAGTTATCGGAGTATATAATATCTGAGTAGAAACTGCTGCTGTGTTACTTTTGCATTTTCGATGCTTAAGACTATCTCTCAAGACATTTTTGTTATACAGTAAAGGCAGAAATTGGAGAATAACCTGCAATTCCTGCAGTCACTGCATAGTGAAGTAACTGTAATATGCTTAGAACACCCTCTTTTGCTCCAATTTCATGTTACAGAGCAATACACCACCTTTGAAAATGAATCTTTTTATTTTATAGATTATTTCTCAGTGAGGTGACATGGTGGCTCAGTGGTTAGCACTGTTGCCTCGCAGCAAAAAGGTCACTGGTTCGAGTCCCGGCTGAGCCAGTTGGCATTTCTGTGTGGAGTTTGCATGTTCTCCCCGTGTTGGTGTGGGTTTCCTCTTGGTGCTCCGGTTTCCCCCAACATCCAAAGACATGCGCTATAGGGGAATTGAATAAACTAAATTGGCTAGTGTTAGTGTGTCTCATACATAATAATCTCTGCTGCTCCTTCCTTTAATAGCAAACGGCTGACAAATCTTGCTTTGCAGCGAAGGTTTTTGTATAACTCATTAGAAAAATGACAATCAGAAACAATCTGAACTTTAACTCTTTATTCCACATAGCCGATTCTCTGTCTGTCAGTGATCGTCATCTTCGCGTCATGATCAGTCTCATGATCCCCCTGGCTTTGCTAGTGTCTAAAGGAAAAGGCGCGTTGACATTTTACCGGATCTGTAACTACATATTTGGTGATGTACTGTACTGTATTGAAGTAGATGCGCTCAGGCAAAAGATCCGGACCCAACACGATTCATTTATTTGACTCTAAATCGATTATTGCTTTAAAGAATCAATAGTTTTAAACATGGTGCACTTTCAGATTTAAACCTCAGCTGGATGTTTTCATTCACTTAGAGCTGTGTTACACACTGCATGAAAGCTCATAAAACCCATAATAGGAGCTCTTTAACTATAGGGGAGTTGTAAAAAAAAAGCCTATTTGATAAAAACGGAAAGTATTCCTTTTAAAGTGCACTGTAAAATTCTTGCTGCCTATTTTTTTTTAATCAAAAGAACCTTTCTATTCATTTCAATTTCTATAGCTAAAAATTTGAATTGAAACCTGATTAACTCATAATAATAAAGTACCATGTAATGTACCAAAACAACAGAAATATATATATATATATATATATATATATATATATATATATATATATATATATATATATATATATATATATATATATATATATATATATATATATACATACACTTTTTTTTTTTTTGCTATTTAGGAGCAATGTGCCACTAACTGACACTTTACTGGGCTGTGTGTGCATGAATAACTGCTCAGACTGGCTCTAGTTTGCTCTTTGACAGATGCGCGCTCAGACTGAGGCATCATTTCTTGGAGTCTCTGACATGAGTCTCTTGAGTTTAAATATGTTTTTATACTGTAAAGGTAAAATTTGGAGAATTACCTATTAGAATTACTTTAAAAAGGACTAAACAGTCATCTCAGATTGGAATTGCAGTGAAAGAGCAGTGTTATAAGCATATTTGGTATAGTCTGAAGCACAGTATAAAGAACTCAAATGAAATGCAATATTCTAAAAGGACACTGATCAACTTTTAGGCACCATGTAAAATCATTGCATGCATGCATGCATGCATGTAAAATCATTGCTGCAGCCATGGTTGAGCAGCAAAGTTCCTTGATAATCACACGGGAATGGTAGTTCCTACAGTATAGCAATATCAATCTAGAAAATAGCAACTTTTAATTTTTGATGGATTTTAGCGCACAGTTACTACAAAAAGAAGCTCTTAAATAGGAAAATTTCAAGTTGTTGGTCATTTTTGAGTGAGATGCTAATGGTCTAATACGATTTAATAATCTATGCTAAGCTAAACTAAAAGTGCTCCCGCCAGACCCGGAGTTCATCTGATTGCATTCAAAAATGGTAAAACTCAACTGTTTAACTATAGGGCAGTTGTAAAATGAGCCTATTTGCTAAAAGGAAAGTATTGTAAAAAAATTATTGCTGCCTATTTCTTTTTCAGTTGGAACTTTTCTATTCATTTCAATTTACATCAGTCCAACTG